CACCCTGTGTCCCAGTGAGGGGCTCCCTGCCCCTCTGTGTCCCACGTTAGGGGCTCCCTGTCCCTCTATGTCCCAGTGAGGGGCTCCCTGCCCCTCTGTGTCCCAGTGAGGGGCTCCCTGTTCCAGTGAGGGGCTCCCTGTCCCTCTGTGTCCCAGTGAGGGGCTCCCTGCCCCTCTGTGTCCCAGTGAGGGGCTCCCTGCCCCTCTGTGTCCCAGTGAGGGGCTCCCTGTTCCAGTGAGGGGCTCCCTGCCCCTCTGTGTCCCAGTGAGGGGCTCCCTGTTCCAGTGAGGGGCTCCCTGCCCCTCTGTGTCCCAGTGAGGGGCTCCCTGTCCCAGTGAGGGGCTCCCTGCCCCTCTGTGTCCCAGTGAGGGGCTCCCTGCCCCTCTGTGTCCCAGTGAGGGGCTCCCTGCTCCTCTGCTGTTTCAAGTGCAAGGGAAGCCTCTGACCACACCCCATGGCAGCCCCCCTCCTGGGAAGTGCAGCTTTTCACGCTCTGGAACTTCCCACCTGCCACTCGCCCCCACTTCCTCTTCTGAAGATAACACCCTCCTCCCCACTAGACCGTGGATCCCGCCAGGAAGGGCCGAGGTTATACATCTTTTTGTTCCCAAACGTCACTCTGCCTGGCGGGGCCTCCTGTGGGGGAGAGGGAACAGGCCGGGCACCGCCTCCCGCTGCCTGAGCTGCGGAGCCTCTGGGTCCAGGTGTGTCAGGTGCCGTAGGTGAGGGCGGAGTGTCCTGCTGAGGGGGCTCCCTGCCCCCCGGTGTCCCAGCGCCTTAAACACGTTCCATGGAAACGCTGACAACGGCGTGTGCGAGGCTCCCCTTAGTGAAAGCTGCGGTTCTGGTGAGACAAGGAGAAACGCTGAGCAGCCTGGGGATCGGATGTGTCTTTGAGGGCGCTTCCACACTTGGGAGTGAACGTTGTTTCCTTTAATTCCAGTGATTTTCTAAATGAATACGAGAAAGGAAGGACTCCCAACCCTGACATCGTCTGCAACAAGCACATCAAGTTCAAGTGCTTTTTCAATTACGCGGTGGATAACCTTGGTGAGTGGGTCAGATGGTCTTCGTTTGTTTCCTTAAAAAGACGTAGGATTTCCAGAGAAAGCCAGAGCCAGACCCTCGTACGCAGTTTCACCTTTTAGAAGGAAAGGAAGCGGGGATCGGGAAAGTGCGTGTCTCCCCGGAGAAGGGGCTTCCTGGTGCCCACGGGGCGCCCTGGGAGGAGGGCTCACAGTGGCCACAGGCAGGGCCAGGGTCGAGGCCCCTGTGGGCCAGCCTTCTCCGCGCAGCTCCCTCTGATGGGGGTGTGGTTCTCGGGTGTTTCGGGCACCCCCATCGGGCCCAGGAGTGGCGTGCAGTCCTGTGGCTGCGCCCACCCCCCCGCCCCCCCCAGCCCCGTGGTCCTACTGAGGCCTCTTCTCTTGCTTCCGAAAGTGGTCCCTGCTTTCCCCAACTCCGGTTCCTGGGTCTCTGTCCTGTTGCTCTGGCTTGAATCCGTGTCTCCGTGGCCTGTTCTGAAGCATCTGCCCCCAGGGCCCTGCTGCCGTGGACAGCTGGCCGCAGTCTGTCCCTGCTTCCCCTTCCTCAGCTGCCTGTGGGGCCTCCCACCCTTCACGCGGAGCCTTCCCAAGCCGCCCTGCTGGCCCAGCTGCCTCCACGGCGGTCACCACAGAGAGCTCCCCAAGGCCCGGCTCAGGCCTTCCACTCTGATCCATCCCATCGTCACTCCCCCGCCCTGTCTGCCCACGTGCCAGCGACCCAGGGTGGCCGCACCTCTGTCCCGTTAGCACTGGTGGCCACGACGGGGACAGAGCAGCTTGCAGAGCTGAGGTCCACGTGACCTGCAGCTGAGGTGATGGAAGCTGCGTCATGGAGCTGGTAGTGAACAGATGCCCACGGAAGCAAAGAATAAAACAGTCTTAGATCTGGATGTGGGACCAGCTTTAAAAACATGGAACTGCGTAGAGGCGCGTGCTGCCTGCTCTGTCTCCACGTCCACTGCAGGACGGTGAGGTCGGGCCGGGAGTTGCCTCGAGCTGACTGACCGTGTCTGCGTCTGTCCGCCGAGCCCCTGTGGCCCGAGCCCGCCCTGTGGCCCCAGACGTCTGAGGAGGGCAGGGCCCGCATGTCTGCCCCAGGAGGCGCGTCCAATGGGCTCCGTTTCGTGGCGGCGCAGGCAGGAAGGAGTGACAGGTACAGGGAGTGTTAAGTTCCACGTGAGTGTGTTTGGAAACAGGCCATCGATGGACTGAGGAGCTGCTGTGGGTCATCACAGCAATGCGCAGGTGTACGACCCAGGGTCACGTTCGGGCGGGACTCCAGGGGCAGACCTGCCACGAGCAGGAGAGGTGCCCGGGAGGCACGGCAGCTGTTGAGGGTGAGCGCTTGTCTGTGGAGGCCGAGGCTCCGTTACCTCGGCAGAGCCTGGGGCCACCGTCGGGTCCTTGGAAGGAGTCTGAGCTTCCTGCGTGGGCCGAGCCGTCCAGACCAAAAGCACACGCAGGCTCAGCACCTCAGAGGCACCCGCGCCGCCCGCAGCACCTGTGCGCTGGGAAGGAGGTTCCGGGCTTCCAGCTCTGTTAGGAAAGCAGCCAGGGCGCCGGCCGGTGTGGCTCAGTGGTTGAGCACCGACCAGGAACCAGAGGTACACCAGTTCGATTCCCCCGGGGCAGGGCGCATACAAGAAGCAACCAATGAATGTGTAAATAAGTCGAACAACAAACTGATGTCTCTCCCTCCCTCTCTTCCTCCCCTGCGTGCTTTCGCTCTGCATCATAAATAAAAGAAACTCAATCAGA